GGCGTATGTATTTTAAAAATGACCTTCTATATCTGCCAGTTTTTAAGGGTACAATGTTTTTATGTCCTTGAATGCTAGGGTATTTGCTTGGCAGTTTCCACCTTTGGGTTCCCATTCAAATGAAGAAATATCTAAAACTGTGATTTAGGTCACTGATGAACTATTTTGTGGTTCACATAGACACAAAAATCTTGGGTAAAGGTTTTTGAAACAAAAATTAAATGGGATCCATTAATATGAGATGACTTTATCCAGCATGATTTGAAATTTTCCTAAAGAATATATTTGTGAGGCTGGAGAATTGACTTGGTGTTTAGGAAAAGTGGCTTCTCTTCCAGAGGATCTGGGTTCAGTTCCCAGCCCCCACATGTCAGTTCATAGCCATCTGTAACTCCAGTTCTGGGGTATCTTTTTTTGTTTCTTCAAGACATAGTTTTTCTGTATAATAAACAGCCCTGGCTGTCCTGGAACTCTCTTTGTAGCCCAGGCTGGCCTTGAACTCAGAGATCCACTACCTCTGCCACCCAAGTGCTGGGATTAGAGGTGTGCTCCACCACTGCCTGGCAGTCCTGGGGGATCCTATGCTGTCTTCTGGCCTCTGCAAGCCCCAGGCACACATGTGCTCAGATGTACGTGTAGACAAAATACTCACTGACAAAGAATAAGATAAATTGAATAAATAAATAAATAAAAATTACTCTCAGACCAGAAGGCTTATGTTACCTTTTTCAAATATTTGTTTATGTAGGTGGCAATTTTATGTCAGTTCCTCAGAGAAATTGACTACAAGACAGCCTTCAAGTCATTGCAGGAACAAAACAGGTATGGTTTGTTTGTTTGTTTTTTCTTTTCTTTTTTTTTTTTTTAAACATGAAGCTGAAGCTGTTCTGCATTAGTAACGAGACTCTGTTTGCAGCCATGACGCTATGGACTCCTACTATGACTGCATCTGGGACGTCACTATCCTGGAGTACTTGACTTGTATCCTTCCGTCAGTGCCTGGGATGGCACAGCAGCTCATGTCTGTGATCTAAAGTATTTCCAGAGGCGGTGCTGGCGGCACGAGCCTCTAATCCAGCACTTAGGGGGAGAGGCAGGCGGATCTCTGTGACTTCCAGGACAGCTGGGGCTACACAAGGAAACCCTGTCTCAAAAAAAAAAAAAAAAAAATTGGAACATATTTTCCAAGCTAAAGTAGAAAGAGCCTGGAATTTTAAAAATATATTACATATATGATTGTGTGTGTGTACATATTCTGCAGTGTGTGAATATCACACACACTGAGGGCAACCTTGAAGTCAATTTTCTTCTGCCATATGGGTCTTGACGGTTGAGCTCCAGTCATCAGATCTGGCAGCAAGCTCCTTGACATGCTGAGCCACCTCCCCAGCCTCAAAGAGTTGAGATCCCATCAAGATATAATAATCACTTTTATTTTTCTTAACTGATACATTCAGATCTTCATCATAAAAGAGGAGAAACAGATAAGAGACAGATTGCTGTAAGTTGCCTTACACCTTTCTTCAGTGATGTTTTCCGAGTATTAAACAGTTTAGATTTGTGCCATTGAGCAAAGACTGTTTGCCCATTTACTGCCAGAATTTAGTTATCAATATTTGCTTGTAATGTTTATTGAGTTTAAAATATTAGATAGAGCATTGTATATATCTGGTCTAAATCTTCCAGTGATTTTTCATCTCACAGGATCCTTACAGTGGCTTGCTGACTTGGTTTTCCCCTTTGCTTAACATCAGTACAAATGTCCCCACTCTTGTTCAGATATGTCAAGGACAGTAATTCTCCAGGGACCTTTGGCATTTTCTTATCCAGGAACATTCATGTTCCTTCTGGTCTTGTCTTTGCTGTTTCAGTGTTTAGCCTTCCCTGGACATCTTACAGACTAACATGCCTCCTACCACCCTCTGTTACTCTTCTTATTCTCATTCTCCTTCTAAAGTTTTTCTCTGTAACACTCACCAACATTGGACATGCTATATATTTACTGTTCTGTCAGGACTTGGCTTGTTCATAGGTAACTAGAATGGTCCCCAGCAATTACTGAATAAGTAATTTATTTGAATTTGACTCATCTTTTTTGCCCCCCTCACATTTCTGTGTGTGTATTCTAAAGGTCAGAGGACAACTTACATTAGTCTGTTCGCTCCTTCTATTCTGTGAGATTATGTCAAAGATTGGAACTCAGGAGATCAGGTTTGGCACCAAGCTGTTTTCCCCCTCCCCACCCCCAAACCATCTTGCTATCTGTCTTAGGGCTTTATTGCTGTGAAGATAGACCATGGCCACAGCAGCTCTTACAAAGGAAACATTTAACTGGTACTGGCTTACAGTTCAGAGGTTTAGTTCGTTATTATTATGGTAGGAAGTATGGTGGCATACAGGTAGACATGGTGCTGGAGAGGTAGCTGAGAGTTCTACATCTGAATCTGCAAGCAGCAGGAAGTGCCTCACTGGGCCTGGCTTTGCGTTTCTGAGACCTCAAAACCCACCACCAGTGACATTTTCCCCACTACATCACATCTACTCCAAAAGCCATATCTGATAGTGCCACTCCCTGTGAGCTAATGGGAACCATTTTTTTTCAAACCACCACACTGGCCTGATGTATAAAATTTTACACTCATTACATGTGGTAAATCAGTATTACTGCCGATCTTTTCTTGCTTTTACTCATTAATAAATGTAGATGCTTTTAGCACTTTTTTTTTTTTGACCTGAGGATCGAACCCAGGGCCTTGCGCTTGCTAGGCAAGCACTCTTACCACTGAGCTAAATCCCCAACCCACTTTTAGTACCTTTTAAGATGTACTCAGATGAAGTTATAGGACTATTTAGATGAAACAGACTTTTAACACCATAAATAGTGAAATAAAGAACATGAAGTTAGCCCAATTGATTGAATGCCATACTTTCTCCCATTTCTTTCTTCCCTTTTAATGATGTTTAAGTGTGGGGACATACGTGCTGCGTGTGATGCATATGTGGTGGTCAGGACAACCCTTGGCATTGATCCTTGCCTTCCTTCTACCTTGGCATTGCTTGGTCCATTAGACCAATGGGTCTGAAGGCTTCTGGGAATTGTCTTCACTTGCCATCTCTCCATAGGGACATGCTGGAATTACAGATGTGTGCACTGTTGTGGCTGGCCTTTATGGTGGTCTGGGAACCTGAACTTAAGTCAGGCTTGAGTGGCAAACACTGCCTATTGAACCATCTCCCCAGCCCCTATTATGTTTCCTTTTGATTATTAGTGCATGTGTATCATGTGTGGATGTAGATGTGTGTGTATCACAGTATACACGTAGAGTTCAGAGTTCAATTTTGGGAAACTAGCTCCACCATGGCATCAGGCTTACATGGCAAGCAGTTTTACCAATGAGCCATCTTGCTTATGCTCTCTCATTCCTAATTTAGCTGAGGCTGGAAGGCAATATTCTTAGTGTTCCCTTAGTATTTTTATACTGTATCATTAAAAAATCAAACATTTGAGAGTATATCATTTTTCCCTTCCCTTTCCTCCAAGCCCTCTCATATACCCTTTCTTAAATTCATGGCCATTTTTTAAAAGAGGTTAATTGTTACATACTTATATGTGTGTATATACAATAACTAGTAACTAGTTGGGGGCTCTTCCCTGGACTTTTTCTCCCACTGTTAGGATTAAGGACTTGTAAGCTTTCCCCTGTCCACTTCAGCATGTCTATTGTCCTTGTTCAGCTCACTTAGTATTTATGGGCTTCTGACATTTCTAGGAGATGCAATCTCACAGCAAACTCCCTTAACCTCTGTTTTTTTTTTTTTTTTTTTTTTTTTCCAGACAGGGTTTCTCTGTGTAGCTTTGCGCCTTTCCTGGAACTCACTTGGTAGCCCAGGCTGGCCTCGAACTCAGAGATCCACCTGCCTCTGCCTCCCGAGTGCTGGGATTAAAGGCGTGCGCCACCACTGCCCGGCTTAACCTCTGGTTTTTAAAATCTTTAAAACTCCTCTTCTGAAATGATCTCTGAGCCTTAAGTGTAGGAGTTATTCTACAGATATAAATACTTACTTACCTTCCATCTCTGGGAGGCAGCCAAGGGCAATTTAGTAATAGCCCATGATGTCTTTGTTTAATTTTCTGAGACAGTCTTACTATGTAACCCTAGGGGGCCTGAACTCACTGTGAAGATCAGACTGGCTTCAGATGCAGAGATCATTAGCCTCTACTTACTAAATGCTCCTGACCCCCAACTATATTATTTTAAGGCTTCTAACTACATATCCATTTAGCCTCCTGACTCTTCTAAGTGCATCCACAGGTATAGGCTTATCTCTTATCCCCACATTAGAGGCCTCTCAGCCAGTTTTAGTCACTACTTTCTACTCTGTGCCAGCTATCTATACTGTTCTTATGTCAAGTGCTTTTCTATGGTCTTATTACTATAACCCGTTCTGCCCATAGCCTCTTCTGACCTCCTTGTTTCTGTGTGGGTTTGTGACGACCCCCACCCCCAATCAGCCTCTTCCATCTACTTTTTCTCTCCTGCTCACCCATAAGCATACAGGAATTTATTTCATGTAATAAAATGTCCTTCAGATAAGTATAAACTAAATCTTAGTAGATCGATGCAATAGTTATATTATTTTTTTCTGTAGCTCTTAAATTTTAAAATTTGATTATTTTTAACTTTGACTTATGTGTACTACTAGGAAGACTTATAACACTTTTCTGTTTTCAGATCAAAGCCATTGGCCAAACAGAATTGAATGCAAGCAATCCTGAGGAAGTATTACAGCTGGCAGCACAGAGAAGGAAAAAGAAGTTTCTACAAGCAATGGCAAAACTTTACTTTTAAACAGTTAGTTAATTTTTTAAACTTTTATTTTTTAAACATGGGCTAAAAGTAAACAGTATTAAAAGATTAAGTTTATATAATACATATGTACAATTTAGTGGTGTTTTCTTTTCAGACAAAAACTGTACAAAAACTTCACACATTAACAAAAGTTTACAATTTCTTCAAAGAGAGAAAGGGTTCACATGTCTGGTAACCTGGCAATCTGGTATCACTTTTTTTCTAATGAAATTGACTTTTTTAGGACCAAATTTCCTTTTCAAAGGCTAACTTAAAATATTTAATGCATAAGTAGCTATTCTATATACAATAAGTTTAAATAAATAGATTTCTAGGAGTCAGTATACATTTAATATTTTTTCTGCCATAGAAAATAGAAGTTTAGGTCACATGCTAAGTCTTTCCATGTCGACACAGTCCTCATAATATGGGACTTAAAAATGGACTGCCAGTTTTGCAAACATAAAGCCTTAGTCACACTACATTTCAAAAATACTTAGGGGTAGATTAGTGTAATAAAGTGACTTTCTTATATAGTTTGAAAAGGCATTAAAGTTTTACCCAGATTGTGATATGAAAAGACTATAAAGCAACCCTTAGATGAAGTAAAACCCCTGTAGAAGCCAAAGCATTTATCTTGTTTATAATTTCTTTGGTTCTCCCATCGTTTAGAGCACAGTTTAAACATTTGGTTCAATGCCTTACTGATTGAGAAATACGATGGCAAGGCAAACAGACTAGTTAAAAACAGATTGAACTTCACACCATTTGTAAAAATTCAAGTTTTATCATTGTTACAAAACAACTTCAGATAAATTAGTCACTTTATTACAAAACAATCTTTGTAAATAAGTTTAAATTTCATTTTCAAAAGACAAATTGCACCATTCAAGAGTATAGGAATTTAAGAATCTAAAAATGTAGATTCAAAGTTCTGTGTCAGCTAATACATCTTTTAAGTAGCACTAGTTTAGTCCATATTCCAATGATAAAATTCCTAGTTTATCAAGAGAAACACAGTAACACAGGAACTTAAAGAAACACAGAAACAACTGCTACAGCATGAATTGTTGCTGGCTTCTATCCACTGTCCTTGGGAATGAAGCCACCTCTGTAAACAAGTCCTCTTTTCTTTTAAACAGCTAGAGGAAATTTCTTTAGTGCCAATCTTTTTTTGAAGTTTTTTTGTTTTGTTCTTTTGTAGTGCTGGGGATTGAACCCAGGGCTTCATGCATCCTAGGCATTTAGTGCCAAATTGATGTAGTTTTTAAAGAAAAGAATGGCAGTGTAACTCCTCAGCGGGCAAGGACAGCCATAGCACTACTTTATGTAAAACTTACTCATGTGTATAAACTCTATCCAGCATCTGCTCAATTCCAATGTGTTGTTAACTTCAGTGCTTTACTGGTGGTTTTTCAGTACTCTTTGGGGGTGTCATAATGCCGCCATTACACACGGGTGACAGCTGCCCTCCTTTTCTGAAGGTGTTCACATAGTTTACTTCATTCTGTACACATGAAGGAATAATGCAATAATTAACAGCTAAGATAAAACAAATACATAGTAAGGTGAAACCACATATCTATCTACTTGTTTGAGACATCCAAGTCTATTTAAGAGTCTCTATCTTAGGCCAGTTGTTTAATCCTTATCACTCAGGAGGCAGAGGCAGATGGAGCTTTATGAATTTGAGGCCAGCCTGGTTTACATAGCATATTCTAGTAAGGCCCTGTCTCAAAACAAGCAAATGGACTGCTGGTCTTGATTTTGAGTAATATTTTTCTTAAGACAGTCTTACTATGTGGCCCATGAACTCATGATCCTCCTGCCTCAGCCTCCCCATTGCTAAGATTATAGGCCTGTGCCACCAAGTCTGCCTTAATTGTTTTATCTCCTTTACATTTTAAAATCAGCATGACTATTACCTTCCCCTTTATCATCTTATGTAACTGTCTAAAGTAGTAATACACAGTATCCTCTCTATCAGTTCTAGGACTTAACTAGATAGCAAGATTTTAAAAAACAGTGAAAAGATCTTAAATTAAAAGAAAAATAAACAAACCCCAAAACCAAAAACCATACCAGCAAAGCCAAATAATTTGTGTGTGTCTGGATATTGTGTCTGTCTTCCATGGGTATCTTCTTAAAAGTCTTCAGCTTCACTGGACTTACACTTTTTACTACACTGACAAAAGGCACCATCCAGTCTACACATTCTGAAATGTCATCCCATTCCAAACCTGAATTAAAAAAATTAGTAAGATGTTAAAGTTATACAATAGAAACTACCAATCTGCCCAATGTTCTTTGCTCTGCTTCCAAGTTTTAAGTCATTTAAAAACTCAAAAGAAATGATTACACATTTATCAAACTGTATATGAACTTAAAGCTGAAAGAATTTAGCTTTCTGGAAGCTCATTCTGTAGCCCAGGTTGGCTGTCCTCCTGGTTCAGTCCCCCCAAGTGCTGAGGTTACAGGCTTGTGCCTCCCATCTGACTCTTTTCTTTTTAGGTTTATAATTATGCAAGTCTGTACACAAACAAGTGTCTACAGAGATCAGAAGAGCATATCAGATGCCCTGGACCTATAGTTACAGGTGGTTATGTGCCATTTGCTATGGGGGCTAGGAACCAAACTGGGTGTTCTCCAAGAGCAGTATGTGCTCTTAACCATTGAGACATCTTTTTAGGCCCTCTTCAGCTTTTTAACCAGCACATATTCATACAAGGTAGAACTGTGCTTATTTGCTTCAAATGAATTTGATACACTAAGGACTGTAAAGTATTTCTAACAGAAAAAAATTGAGTAAATTATTCAATTGTGTGCTCGATAAGATATTAAAGTTCCCGTACCATTGAAAGTGAACAAAATAGTCATACCTGAGGCTTTCTTAACCACTTCAATGGAGGTAAAATGGCATAAGGCTGCAGCTGCCAGAATTCTGTATTGGAATTCTAATGAGTCAACGGCTAAGATGCACAGATCTAAAAGCTAACAAGGAAAAAGCAAAAGTGTTAGTAATTTAAAAGAAAGATGAGTATGTCCCTGCTCTATAGAACATATACCATCACTGCTAACTCTAAGGCAAATAACCACCACCTAGTTTCAGTATTGCAGGGGAGGAAGGAAAAGCCAGGACAGCATTGTAGGAACACAGGGAGAATGTATTAGCAGGGTGTGCACTTCATCTGGATTGGAAAAAGCCAGAGAAGGCTTCTAAGTCAGATAAGCTAGGCAGGAAGATGGGTGGGCAGAGAATGTTTGAGATAGAAGAACATTACCAAAGGTAATACTACTTAATTATGAAATAAGCAAGGAATACCTTCCTTCCTTAGCCAAGGTGAGCAGTTGAAGGCAAGGAAAGTAGAGGTAACCTAGTTAAGTTATAAATAAAGGCCCTTTAGAAGTTAGAGCGCTACTACTGAAGCTTATTAAAACTACTGTAAGATTCTAAATCCAGGAAAGTTACACTTTAAAAAGGGCATGGTAGACAAACTAGAACACAGTAGTCCTAGCAGCAACTAGATACAACTGGTAAAGGAGCAGTTGGAACGGTGTGAAGGCTAGCTAGATTTTCAGGGGTTAAGGCGATTCCTGTTCAGTGAATAAACCAGTAAGTGGTATAAACTGGAGGAGTTGGAGGTGAAATACTACCAGATTAAATATTCTTTGAGTAATGTATGAGATCCCCTGGGAGTTGAGATTCATGTGAAAACTTGATTCACTTACATATACCTCATATACATATATATGCATTTGATTTTATAGAATATTTTTAGTGTGCCTGTTCTTTTTGACCAATTACTGAAGTCGTGTGGAATTTCTCACATTCAAAAACTCTAATTTTAGAGTATTTTCAAACTTTTGGAATAGGGATATTCAACAGTATTTACTAGAAACATTTTACATCTTTGTTGGCTAACAGATTTTAAAACACAAGGTCTAACCCAAATGATTTAATACTCATCCCTAAATTCCAATTTCACATCCTACATAGAATAAAATTGAAGATTTTCTTCACATTTATATATGGTAGGATTTCACCCTTCAAGTCTTACATATATGCAAAGAATGGGATTCTCAACCTCTGTAGTTACTCTGTTAGAATATGTTATATGCTGGTCTAGGAAAGTTTAATTTGAATAAAGTAACAGCAGGTTGGGCATAGTGGTTATATTCCAGCTTTAACCCAGCACTTGGGAGGCAGAGACAGGTGGATCTCTGTGAGTTTGAGGCAAGCCTAGTCTACATAGTGAGTTCCAGGACACTCAGAGCTACATAGTGAGCCCTGTCTCTGAACCCCACCACCACCAAAAAAACACAAAACACTCTGCTAAACCAACAACAAAACCTTTTTAAGACAACTAGCTGAAAACATTTTTCTCCATTTTATATCCAAAAGGTATTTTACTCTAATCCAATCCCTAAAAAAAATGGGAATACCCATAAAAGTTTAAGGTTGTTTTTCTTCTCTAAGTTATTAAGCAATGTAAATACTAGGGACAGGATTTTATGGGTCAAAAGTTATTTTGTCAATTAAGATTTAACTCAGTATGCCATTTTGTTTTATAGTCCAGGACTTACGTGGTGTGTGTGTGTGTATGAAACAAATCTGTAATTGTCAATAATATTAGCTATGTTCAGTAACAGGGTCAGTACCTGTGCTATCTGGATGAACGTCTCCTGAGAATATTGAGGTAGAAGAACCTTAGGAACATCTTTAACAGCATCAACTTGGAGAAAAACATTCAACCAGGAAATGACTGTTACAGGACAAAGTTCCCATTTTAATGCCTGTCAACGAAATTTTAAAATGCCCATTAATAACTACATATATATTACCAACCATCAATCAATATCAATATTTTACTGCATTAACCTTTTCTATGCTCAGACTAAAACATCAATTTTGGCTTTTTAAAAATTTGTTCAAAATTATATTTATTTCGGGTATAGGTACATGCTGTGACTTGCATATGGAGGTCAGAGGACAACTTACACCATGTATGTCCCCCAGGAATCAAAATGTTGTCATGCCTCCCTGGCAGTGAAATGCCTTTAACTTACTGAGTTGGCTATTTGTTATATCAGAAGTTCACTCATAACTATTGTATTAAAAAGTTGCAACTAGGAAAGTACATTATTATTACCTTTAATATATTGAGTTCCATCTTTAAGATATCTACTTCACTGCAAGCACCATCAGTGACATAAGCAAACTCTTGGAGTTTTGGAGCGTAGATTTCCTTTAATTTAGAAAATTTTTATTAAGCATTTTAAATAAAAGCAAAAAGAATTAGATACAGACTATATGTATATTCAGTTTTAAGGACAGTTTCACAAAGTGATGATAAATCAAAACTGTGTCATATTTTCTTTCTGTATGTAGGTATCTGTGGCTAGCTACTGTATTGATTTTCAAGTTTATTTTTCTAGAGTTGACTTTGTATCTAACAATGCATATCTTAATCTGTTATTTCAATTAAGAAACAATTAACAACCTTTATAATACCTTTTTGGTCTGGTGGTCAGACCAAAACAAGACACTACAAATAAGTTCCAGTGTGGCTCATTTGGTTGAGCGCTTGCCTAACGTGTAGGAAATCCTAGCACTGCATATCAAAGTCATCTACCAGCTGCAGACTGAGTTCAAAGCTAGCTTGGGCCACTCAAAAAAGCAAAAATAAGGTCTAGAAACCAAACACATTAATTTAATATGAAAGTATTAATTGGCGCTGGAGAGATGGCTCAGAGGTTAAGAGCACTGACTGCTCTTCCAAAGGTCCTGAGTTCAATTCCCAGCAACCACATAGTGGCTCACAACCATCTGTAATGAGATTTGGTGCCCTCTTCTGGCCTGCAGTCATACATGCTGTATACATAATAAATAAATCTTTAAAAAAAAAAAGTATTAATTATCAAAAAATACTGGGCTTATGCTTGCTTTGGTTACACCTATACTTTAAAAAACAAAACAAGGCCAGGTGTAGCAACACACATTTTTTAAATCCCAGTAGTCAAGAGGTAGAGGCAGGCAAATCTCTCTGGGGTCTATGTAGTAAGTTACAGGCCAGCTAGGACTACACTGTTAGACCCCTGTCTCAAAGTGCTGACCAAGGATGGGCAAGGCCCTGGGGCTTCAATCCCAGTATAAGCAGAGGAAGAGGAGAGAATTGTGTTTTGGCTGATGGCAAATTTGTCTTAAAAGTACCAAGAATTAGAAATTATTAGAGGGTTAGATAAAGCTGGCACATGGCAGCAAACTAAAGATCATTATTTCAATACACAAAGATGCCTGAAACAAGAGGACAGGCTGACTCTACAAACTGATGTGCTGTATGCTGCAGAACTGGGAGATAAGTTAAACAGCTCAGATGGCACACTGGAAGAGAAAAACATACTTTGGGATATTAATGTGCTCATAATCCCTCAAAATGGTACCAGCCTCAAAGAATATTGGTAACAGTCAACAGTGTGTTAAAAAGTAATGGGTGAAAATTATATATTTTTGAAAGTTTGCAGCAAGAGTTTTCTTCTAACATGACACCAACCAACACTAGACAGGAAAAAGTAGGTCTGACAGGCCATTATCTTTAACCAACATAACATTTCTTTCATTTGATTGTTTAGTGTTTAAAGACCATTCTTTTGAATCCATGTGCTGTATAATTATGTAACAACACCATTAGTTTATCTGGTGAAATGAGCCATACAATTCCCAGCATCTAAACTAGAGACTAATATAAACTATGTAAGCTAGAGACTAAAATAAAGACCTATGATAATTTCTTCTTCCATCTATATAATAAAACAATTCCTATTCCCTAAAGATTTAATACAGAAAATGTTAGTATCCTGAGATTAATATGTTCATTTAAAAACTAGGTTTATAGTAAATTTATCTGGATGAAATTTAAGAACTTACCTCAAGTTTAGAAGCAATGAATAATGCAGTAATCCCAATGAGTTGAAGCATATTTTTATTTATATCTTTTTGTGTCAACATATATCTGTCAAAAAAGTCTTGGGCAAGGTAAAATGTCTCCCTATGAAGTGTGTATACTTCACATACCTGAAGAACCAAATATTCAAATATCACCTTTAGAATTTATCCAAGTTACAAAGTTATCTTTATTATAAAGGCTAAACTTCTTTAGGATGCCAATATTAACATAAAGGAAGGATTAGCATGTACTGATAGAGAGCCTATGATCCTTATCCTTAGTTTTACAGTTTTTTACTTTCATATCTATTGCAGGCTAATATAAAAATCTTTCCATGTTTTTGATTTAATGAGCATTACCCTCATTTTCACTATTGTTAATAATATTGCCATTCCCATACTTAAAGGAAAGTTTCTAACTTTCAACCTTACTCCATGAATTGGGTGCCATTATCTCCTTTTTGGAAATGAGAAAACAGGAACAGTAATAGATGAGTTTAAAACAAACACTGAGTATATTAAAGAACTATTCTGGCCGGGCGTTGGTGGCGCACGCCTTTAATCCCAGCACTCGGGAGGCAGAGCCAGGCGGATCTCTGTGAGTTCGAGGCCAGCCTGGGCTACCAAGTGAGCTCCAGGAAAGGCGCAAAGCTACACAGAGAAACCCTGTCTCAAAAAAACCAAAAAAAAAAAAAAAAAAAAAAACTATTCTGCTCCTATCTTATACTGTTTTAAAATCAGACACCTGGTGAGTGGTTCAGTAGCAAAGAGCTTGTACTGGTTCCTAGCACCAGAATCTAGCAGCTCATCATTGCTTATAACCTTAGTGCCAGGAGATCTGATGCCCTCTTCTGATCTGGGTACCTGCACTCAATTTACACATAATTAAAATTCTTAACACCAGGAATAGATGTTGGTTGTATTTCCAAGACATCTTTCCTATGTGTTGACATTTTAAGATTTTTCAATCAGTGAACTTATTTTTACATTCAGATTGAAAATAAGTTTGTCATCATACAAAGTAAAAACTTTTAGTTAACATAATTCTGATGCATTGATGCTATTATCACTAGATATTCAGAAATAGACACGATGTTCAATTTTCAGATCCTCCAATGAAAACAGGCAAACCCAACAACTTTCTTGCTTTGCGCCTTTCCTGGATCGTGCTCTGTAGACCAGGCTGGCCTCGAACCCACAGAGATCCAACTGCCTCTGCCTCCTGAGTGCTGGGATTAAAGGCGTGTGCGCCCCGCCCCCCCCTCCCCTGTCAACGGATAATCTTTAAGGACCTGATAACACAACTTCCTCTTATAGTCTTGGAAACATTTCTGAGATCTACTGAAAGGTCCACCCAGTCTTCCTCCCTTAGAATGAATCTACACCTTTTCCTCAGTATTAGGGATTAAACACAGGGCTTCACTGTGTGTTAGGCAAGCATTTCACTAAGCGACATATACCTCACCTGCCCCTTATTTATTTTGAGATAACATCATTGTAACCTGTACTGGCTTTTGTGAAACTTGTAAATCCTCCTGCCACAATCCATCATCTCCTGTCATACTATACAGCAAATATCCAGGGTTGTAAGAAAATCAGTTTAGCCGGGCAGTGGTAGAGCACACCTTTAATCCCAGCTCTCGGGGTGGCAGAGCCAGGGGATCTCTGTGAGTTCAAGGCCAGCCTGGGCTACAGAGTGAGTTCCAGGACAGGCACCAAAGCTACACAGAAACCCTGTCTCGACAATTTAAAAAAAAAAATCAGTTTAACATCAAGTAATTGTTTCCTCAGCAATAATTTGAGAGATTTACAATAATCCAGAGAAAGGGAATAGACCCAAATAAGAAAAAGAAGTTTGCATAGATCTATAGATTTCAGGCTCACTGATACTCCTTAAATCGATGATATGATGTGTGTGTATATGCAGATATGTTCTTTACAATTATTTATTTTTTAGACAAGGTTTCAGTATGTAATCCTCTGATCTGCACTTTCTATTAGTCCAGTTTGGGTGTAAAGTCCCAACGTTCCTGCCTCGACCTTTGTGGATTGCAAGCATACACAACACCCAGAAGTAGTGTATTTCTGAAAGGGACAGCAGTATATTATAAAGGAAGCTAAATGGGATTTAGAGGGCTTATGATATAAAATCAAAATTCATGATTTGGCTTTGATAATGCAGAAAAAGGATGTCTGAGGGCTTGGAAGCCTAAGCTGGTTCTTTGCTTGTATTCACAACCTAGTCAACTAACTATACATTCTATTCACCTTCAGTACCCTCAAGTAGAACCAAACCTTGCATGTCAGGGATTTCTGATTTTGTTTTGGGTTGTAGAAGACATGTTCTTAGGATTTTACTCTCTGCTTTGGTACTGAGGACACACTACCAACTCCTGATTTTACTCTTTAAAAAGTTGGTTTGGTCTGGGGTTGTAGCTCAGTGCTGGCCTAACACACACAAGGCCCTAGGTTCAATCTCCAGCAGTACAAGGGAAAAATCAAGTCATATTCTACTTTAGGTGCCACAAACTACAGTTTGTGCCTCACAAAAGGTAGGTTTCTGGTCATGGACAGCATACCCTGAAGTCACATGGAAAGCACATACCCATCTAAACATTTTTCCATTGTAGACACAAAAGAAATTTCTATTTTTAGAACATACCTCCAAAAGCCAGTCTAAAAGTATTGACCTCATCTGTGGTTCCAGGTCAGAATGAAGAACTTCAAAATGTTTGTCATGTACGTATCTGTTCTCCTTCTGTAGCATGTTTTGCCAAACCTCCTGTGAACATCCCCAGCTACATGGCAGGGGGAGGAATAATTTATATTTTGTCATCTATAAAAGTTCTGTTTACAATAACAAAATTCCATGTTTCATTCACACATCCCACTTCAACTTCCAATTAAAAATTTAAAAAAGTAGCTCCTGGAGTAAACTCAAAAGATTTCTGCTTTATTGGTAAATTTCAGGAATTCTGTATAATCAGTCCTTTCTTAGAATTGATAAAAGTTATGGTTTAAGGAAATTCTTAAAAGCAAACTAGAAAAATATTTAAAATATACGATTACAATGATAATGAAGTCCCAAAACTTGAAAGTATGTCAGCAGCATCACTTATGTAGCAATACCATTTATAACGAGGTTAAGGTGAACAAAGTAGCAGGCGTGGGGATGAGCTATTTAAGTTAAACGTCAGTTACTACATAGATGTTTTCTATAAGCTGTACCTCTTGGTCATATCACAACCAATAGTAAGCTTGATAAGGAATGAGTGGGAGAAGTCAATTGAAAATGCTGCCATTAAAAATGTTTCCATTTTAATTAGAGAATTATTTAAGCTACATTTAAAAGATAGTTCAGTTCTGCTAAGTTTGTAAGCATTCAACAAGCAAGTGAAAGAGAGTCTGGGTTTTAAATATATCATTTGCTAACACTTGCAAATAATGTCTCGTGTAGTAGGATGCATGTTTCTCAGTAAGGGAAGTATTAAGAAATACATGGTATTATTTTAAATCTACTGTTTTAACCTTTGATATTAAATTACTGAAAAAAAATTTTTTTACCTTAAGTCTGGCAGAGGCGAAGGATTAATGAAAAGATTTTTAAATCTGTAATTTGTAAACCTAGAGAAGTCACTTGTTTCTATTTCTTTATGGGGTGTTTCGATGATAATGCAAGGACTGATTCCTCCAGACAGGACAGGTGGCCAACAATTCTGTCATTTCAAAACAGAATAGAAAAACTTATTAGTGTATCAAGAAACCATGGCTTTTGTTCTGCATCTTCAAATGATAGGCAATTTGATATTCATACCTAATTTTAAAGCCATACAATTCATACCAGTCTTCATAAATTAGATAATTCCTAATAAGACATTAAGTATTGAAATAATAACGAATGCATTTGTAGTGTAAAATAAAATAATTTTAAAAGAAATAGCTGCAGTTCTCTGAATTTAGAAATTTTAGCAAGGATACTTTTTTTTTTAAAAAGAGCTCTTTTTTAAAAGTGTTTTCTAATAGTTGAGAAAACTTGAATGCAAAAAACTTAAAAATTCAGTCAAGTGGAGTCACTTAGAGGATCTTTTCAAAAGAATTACCATCTCCAAGTGAAGATATAAGAAGGAGTAGCAAAAGGCTGGGTGCCAGGCTGTCAGTGATCTCACATCCTTTTTATGCCAACTCAGTAGCTATTAGGACCCTCCACTGCAGTCTCAGTGAACAAAGAGCGGTGTATAGGCGGGCCCTGGTGTACCAGCCAGCTCCAAGAGGGAGAGGGAGGGATTGACAGACAGGAACCAGCTGCTTCTAGGCCAACTGCACTGCAGCTGTAGGACTCAGGCATCTATGAAGCTCCTTCCTGTTAACCTCTACGATCATTAGGAGTGTCAGAGAACTCTTCCACTGTAAAGCAGCAACACACACAACTCTACTCAGTCCAGGTCTGCATTACCCTGATCTCATACTGATGCTTCTTGGTGATCTCCTCTTGTCTTTTTTTGACATCCTGGAGAACAGAAAAGACCACTGTAAATTAAGCTCTCAACGAGGAATTTCCTCCCTTCCTCCCTCATTTTCCTTAAATCACCTGTGCCGTTTTTCTCTTCTTGGCCTGAATTATCTGGGCTTCTTCTAGTGGAGAGTCTGGGTGGCTGGGCTGGGCATGCTGCTGCTTAGCTTGTAAACGGCTACTGTGATGAATTTTAGGAAGTTTAATTAGTAAGTCATGTATTCAAAGGCAGCAGATAATTTTGAAACACATCTCCAAGACTAACAGTGTTACCTGCGTCTCGACATTCTCTTCTTTGAGGCCTATGAAACCTCTAAATGGGGGAGAAGAAAAACCACAATCAAGAACATAGTCATTCATATTCTCCAATTGCCAATCAAAACCGATTCAGAAATTAACAGCTAATGTTACCAGGTGGCCTGAGCCTTTAAAAACATATCTTTTGAAATATATTAATTATCTCATAGTCATTTTACATACATGCCTTCATTTCCTCAAATGAACGTACACTCGAAAAGAAAGTGCGTTCAGAAATGTGCAAAGTACCCCAGCACCCTTCAGATGAGTTTTTTTCGGCCATGCATGCATTTCCCTGAACAACCAGGGTGGGAAAGGCACATCCCGGCCTCGGCCCGCCAGGCGCCTAGACGAGCCTCCAAGAGCGGGCTCTGGAGAAGCCGGTTCCGCGCCAATTTGGAGAGCCGCAGTGGCGGGGAGCCGTGGGTGGAGGGAACCGAGTCTGGTGTCACGTCCTGCAGGCTCCCTTCCCTTCTTCCCAGCCCCACCCGGCGGGCAGTGCCGCTTGCAGGGGCGACAGGACCCCAACTCCAGAAGAGCAAAGGGGGGGGGGGTTAAAGGTGGAAACTCTGTCCAAGAATTCTTCCCCCGTAAACGATCCACAGCTCCATCCTCTCGCGCGGGAGACCGTCCCCAAATGAGGGTGGACCGAGGGGCTTTTCCGTGGCCTCTCACTTAGGGGTGCCCTCCATCCCCCGCTTCTCCTTGGCCCCCTGACAAGGATTCTGACAGGGACCGACCTCGGGAACCCATTAATCCCAGGCTCCTGGTTCTCATCCCCCCACTTCTCCTCTCCCATGGCTCCCGCCAGACAAGGTTCCCTTCCCTCCCGCATCCCGCCTGGAGTCAGCACCTCCTCACCGCCAGACCCTCTACAGCTCGGCTCAGCTGGCGCCGGCGCCAACTCAATATATAGGCCTGGCCCGGCCCGCCCCGCACGCATGCGCCGCAGACTGACACCTCGGACG